AGAGAGAGAAGGAGGGCAGCTGCTAAGCCTGAATCTGCCCATCAATGTCACCGGCCGGCCGTGGCAGATGCAAAGGGGCATCAGGTCTCAGCCGACACACCCTCATGAGAACAAGAGCGGCGCTCTGCAGAAGTGTGTGTCTGTGTGTGTGTGTGTGCACATATGCTTTGGTAAGAGAGATAGATTGTGCAATAACTTGTGATTGTATGAACGCATGACTGTGGAAATAGATTGTGACATTTTCCTGTATCGTCTGAAGCTGTGAGTTTAACCTTATTTTTTTCTTTTGTCAGCTTTTCAGTGGTATATGATGGCTTCATCCATCCATCTGATGTTCTTTTTCTCTGGAAAAAGAGGGAAAAGTGCAGGTGTGACCTTATAGAGCTATTCTACTGTACCTGATATGACCTATGAAAATGACATCGTCAGGTAGATTGAGTCAAATTAAATCATATTTTTGACTTAAATAAAACTAGTTAAATTAATTTAGGATATCTGGCAAACATTTTTACAGTCTAGAGCTCTTAAAGAGATAGTTCACCCAAAAATAATGCCTGTCGTCATTTACTCACCTCGTTCCAAACCTACATGACTTACTTTCTTCTGTGCAACAAAGAAGATATTCTGAAAAATGTCACAGTGCAATATGAGTCTAATGTTGTTTGAAATAAAGTCATACAGGTTTCAGACAACATGAGGATGAGTCAATTATTATTATTTATTATTGTTTTTTTTTTGGAGGTGATCTGTCCCTTTAAGTGTACAAACGAGATGTCTGTTTTTTCTTAACATTTCACTTTTATTCCCTTGCAATTCTGAGTTTTTTTCTCATATTTCTGAGTGTATAGCTCACAATTCTGACTTTTTTTCTAAGAATTGCAAGACAAACTCAGAATTGCAACTTTTCTTAAATTGCGAGACAAACTCAGAATAGTGAGATATAAACTCAGAATTGCAACTGTTTTTTGTAGAATTGGGAGATATAAACTCAGAAATGTGACTTTCTCAGGATTGAAAGATATAAACTATCTGTCTGAATTGAGAGATAAAAAGTCGCAATGACCTATTTTCTTTTTTTCATCCCATGGCAGAAACAGGCTTCCATAATAATACAATTAAATGCATATTCTTTATAAAACCAGTGTTTTGTCAATAAAAATACATTTTAATGATAATTTAGATAGTGTTTGTGTTCTTCTGCACAGGTAGAATAATAAACTGGTTGCTAAAGCTGACAAAACCAGGATGTGCTCAATTAGAAAAAATGATTCATACACTAAAACATTTTCTGATCATTTCAAAAGTTTTCTTTTATAGGGTCAGGGTTGACTTTTAAAACGACAGCTTGCTGTTTTCTCTCTCAATCTAAATCCGAACATAAACATATGTTTATTTAACAGCCACATATGTACAGTAACCTAAACACCCCTTTAAATATAGCTAAACTGAATGTGTACAATTACTTCACATGATCAAAGACACCAACATCAAATGAAAAGACACTTCATGTAAACAGGACAAAAAAGTGGACGTTTCAGGGTCGAAGTACAGAAGTAAATAGTGCGTTTCTACAATATCCTCTCTTTGACCTTCCACGTGTCCTTTACAACCCGCTCCAGAAGTGCCTTGTGTACTGATTTGAATCGGTCTCATTGAAAACGGCGCACGTGAGAATTAAATGTCAATGAAGTTCTTTTGATTTCAACTCCGACGAGACGTTTGCTCGGTGTGTGTAGACTATTATTATGCAAATGAGGCACACTTCAATATTTTCGCCTGTGTTTTTCCAGCTGATGTCAGCACTTCCTGAGAAGCCTCTGCGCGAGCGTCCTTCTCCCCCCCATAAACACGTCAGGGCGCCGTGGGCTGCTGCTGCTGCCGTCCTCTCTGCGCGCTTGGGAATGTCAACTGCTGTGCAACAGTGTCCTACATACTCACTGCATGCTCATGATACTGTTACACATACATGCATGCACATTAATGTTGAATCAACCTATGGGTCATTCTATAAAACGAGAACCATTTTGTCCCTCATTTACATACACTATGTGTAAAATATCATGTTTTTTTTTAACCTACATTTTTCATGAGGAAGACTTTTTTGGGCCTGCTATAATACTTAATATGCACATTTAAATGGAAAGAAACATATAAAAAAGAGTGCATTTTGTTTTTAATCCCTATATTTTAGATTTTGGGTGACTGTTTTATTGCATCCACAGGTTATCAAATTTTTGCTTTTTTTTGAATAACTCTTCAAGGACAAGGAAAAAGTCTATTCTTTTTAATCACTTTATCTTGTTTTGTTGAATATTTTAGCATTAAATTCTCTTTTAGTTTCTCAACCTTGGGCTTGTAATGTCAAAACATGCCTTTCCATAGGCACAATTACATCCCGAAATATTTACATTTTATTGATTTATTTCTAAATAACACAATGCAAATCACTCACTATTTGAGAAAGTTTACAATTTAAAATAAAATAAAAATTGAATAGAAAAGTGCCAGATATAAATTTGCATTTTTGGAATTTAAAAAAGTGTCATAATTATGAGACATAAACTCTCATAAATTCTGGCTCTTTTCTCAGAATTCTGAATTTATATCTCACAATTCTGACTTTTTTTTCTCACAATTCTGAGTTTATATCTTACAATTCTTATTTTTTTCCCCCTTGCAATCTCGCAATTTTTTTTTCTCAGAAAGTCGCAATTACCTTTATGTATGTATGTATGCATTTATTTATGTTTATTTACTTATTTATTTTTTAAAACTGCCTGCATATCCATCCAACCGGAGGACTGCAGTGAACTTGCAATGCGTGCACGTAGTGCATCATTGTGGGCGAAAGGCTTGCGTGCCCTAAATGAGAAAATGAGCAATGTATAATAACGCTCTAGTCTCTAGACACGAGTGCAAAGCAGCATATATCACTATAACGCTTTCTCTTCGGGTCTGAATGTTTGTGAAACGAAAATCCTACTGCGGGACGTCCTTATTCGTCCCATTGAAGGAGTGAACAATGAGAACACGATGTCAGACAACAGTGTGTACTACAGCTCCAGGATCCGCGTTAATTGCGGACATATGGCTCCTACTGGAATCATTGAGGAAACGGACCTTCTGGTACCCAATTCGCGTGATTTGCATGAAAAGAAAGCCATTGGTTTATAGACCGTGATGTAAAAGAATGACCTGAAAGCCTGAGGCCACAGCTAGTAGTTGATTTAGTGGTTCGTGGCAGAAGCAGCGCGCGAAAACGCAGCTCGGGAGGACAGATTTTGTATCGTAGCAATGTTGCAAATGAGGTGCAAAACAACAAAATCTTCCAAACAAAATTATTAATTGATTACGACCATTTGCATGCAAGATTATTTTGTATTTATATATTTTAATAACCCAAATAATTAAACATATTATTCGTTTTCTAGAAAGGGGGTTACATTTGAATAATCATATAAAACGGCATACATTTATAAAAAGTTTCTTTGATGAAAACCGAACGGATGTGTGAGATAAATAAACCCTTCTGTCTTATTTCAGGCTTCGAGAAAAATCTGGCGAAGGCGTGCACGTCTCACAGCGTCATTAAGCCATCCAGTTCAACGTTGGTCCCGGGAGATTTTTTTATGGATTAAATTAAGTACTTCCATCTTCATTTCCCACCTGATCGCAGCCATATAAATCCCAACAGCTGATCAACAGACTTCAGAAAGCCCGACGCCTTCAGACGGAACAGCTGGGAGATAAAGCAGGAGAGAGGAGAGCGAACAGGCTGACGCAGACTCAGCTGCTTCACTGTCCTTTCTGTGCCTTTAGGGGAAGAAAAGCATCTCGGAAACTAGAGGACTAGTTAGTTTAAACTTAAAGCCCTAACCTGGCAGATACGATCGTCGTGAAGGATCCCAGTGGAACTAAAGAGAGCGGAAAGCGAAAGAGAGAGAGCGCGCGCAGCGGAGCGGAGCTGTCCAGTGCTGAACGCGCGCCGCCGAACGGGAGCTGTCCAGTGCTGAAGTTGCATTTCTGCTGAGAGCATCGCGCTGCATCAACACAAGCGCATCCTGGGGTTCGAGGGTTCTGCCGTAACCCTTCGCTGACATCCGAATCTCGGCATTACCGAAGAGGAACGGTACTAAACGCGTTTTGCCCCAGCGTTGCATGAGGAAAGCGAGCGATTCGACCGGCGGACAAGTATTCTTTCCCCTTCAACGTAAAACATGCCAAGGTCTTTCCTGGTCAAAAAGGTTAAGCTTGATGATTTCTCATCCGCTGATCTGGAGAGCTCCTATGGCAGATCCAGGGCAGACCTCAGCCTGCGCTTTCACGAGAAAGGTAATCACATTTATTTGACATCCAGTTCGTATTTACGCAAGGGCATGTGCATGTATGTTGACGTTTGATGGTTTATAATCACAACCTCGTGTAGTTGACCCACGGTCACATTGTATTGATCACCGTGAGGCGCATCAGTTTTTGTCGAGTCGGCACATTTCAGGTGTTGCGCTCTTTCAAGCACGCATTCGACTCGCTTTCAGGCGCATTTTATTTGTACAAAACGCTGCGCTAGCAACAAGTACTTCACATTTATACCGAGAGTTATCAAAACGTGAATAATCAACGCATGCAGTCTGTTAAGGGATCGCTTGATCATGTTTCACGTTATTATTCACGCTCTACATAATCTGCGTTTTGCACACACTTGCATAAGCAGACGTTTATGGAATATTCATGCATGCATCTGGGGGTTACAGAGTAATATCTTTTGTGCATTTGGTACACATCGACCTAATTCTACACAATTTCTATCAAGACTGGGAATGCAATTATAACTGAAACTATATCATTCTCCTCGCCATTGTGTTTAAATGGGTTGCCACGCTAATTGAAATGGAGCACTACTGATTTTTTTGCACGCTCGTGTGGGTTAATGTAGAAAAAGTCATTGCGTCTGGGTTCACCTAAACGAGCTGAAGTAACAGGAACTGTTGCATCGCCTCCCCCCTCACAGGCTACATCAGCGACTACATGACCCCGGCACCGTACGATGGCGCGAGCGACAACGGCATCAAAGTGCCCTCGCCCGGACCCATCTACAGCGATTATGGAGCGCCGGATTCGGACCAGCCTGACAGCCCACAGTCGGAGATCTCCTCGGGCTATATCAACGGAGACAACGCGGTCAGTGAGGGCTACACAGTGGATGCCTTCTTCATCACAGATGGGAGGTCGAGGAGAAAAGTCATCAGCAGCCCCAAAAGCCTTCAGCGGCACACGTGCAACGAGTGCGGAAAAACATACGCCACGTCTTCCAACTTGAGCAGACACAAGCAGACACACCGCAGCATGGACAGCAAAATGGCCAAGAAGTGTCCCACCTGCGATAAGGTTTACGTCTCCATGCCAGCCATGGCCATGCACTTGTTGACCCACGACCTCAAGCACAAGTGTGACATATGTGAGAAGGCCTTCAGCAGGCCTTGGCTTTTACAGGGACACATGCGCTCGCACACAGGCGAGAAGCCCTTTGGATGCGCGCACTGCGGGAAGGCATTTGCCGACCGCTCAAACCTGCGTGCCCATATGCAGACACACTCGGCCTTTAAGCACTACAAGTGCAAGAGATGCAACAAGACCTTTGCTCTCAAGTCCTACCTGAACAAGCACTACGAGTCGGCCTGCTTCAAGGGAGCGTTTGCTCCTTTGAGCCCAATGGAAGTGTGAAAGTTTGACAGCACAACAACAACGTCTCGGAGGATTAATCGCATGTACCTTAACTTTTCTTTTCTAACGAGTAATAACTAAAGCATTTTTAATCATGATTTTATCCAATACTATCAGTAGTCATTCAGAAGTTAAATATCAGGGAAATGCCAGAGTAGTATTAGCGGATACTTCCACGGGATGGGGAGGGGAAGGGATATAGGGTCCTTTTGTAAGTGGTTATGCACTGCCTGCCTCTTATTTAATAACGTAGTTTTAGAACGTAGGTGCGTGCGCTGCTGAACGGACAGCTTTGCGCACGATCCGGATCATTTGTTCCAAATCTGCGGATGTGAATGGCGCTAAATCTGGAAACGCTGTTGTAGGAGATCCTACTGCAGCATGGACAGCTGGACACAGCAAACTGATCTTTGAAAAGCACTTCTTTGAGAACATTTCCGACTTTTTTTGAAGAAAAAAAAATCAATAAACATAGTAGCACAAACCTTAGCAATTCAGGTAGACAGGCCTTGTATTAGTCAAACCTCTGTTTTTGTATTTACAGACAAGGATAACTAACTGTTTAATGCAAGACGCCTTGTAAATAATCCTTTGGGATTAAATATTTCTACAAGCTGTAAAGAATCAAATGAACTTATTTCTGGACTTCTGTTGCCTGGGTTTTTTCCCCCAGCATTTGAACAATGTAAAGCACAAACGACACTTGGCATTTTCTCACTTCATAATAAAGAACCAATAAGTAACTATGTGTTTGTGGTCCTGTTTGTTTCAGTCACGCACCGAAAACCATCCACCGCTGAAACTCAAAACATGCTGATTCAGAGCAATGCATGCAACTCGGTTGAGAAAGTGTGCGATGACGTCAGTTTGGTGACGCAAGGTTTGTGGTGCATACAGCGTGCATAATGTGTCAGCGCATCCCAAAAAGCATTTCTGAGATGCCGAACACTCTTGCAACGGCTCTTCCGCAGGATTCAAAGCATGCTTTCATCTCAATTAAATCCTTGACTGACGCCTTTGTTACACATGATTGAATTTTATCCGCATTGTGTTCACAAGGAGCTCTTGAGAAAAAAAGCATGTGATCAAAGAGAATCCAGCAACAGCCTCTCTTTATGGAAAGATCCCTGTATGCTTTGGCAAATCTAGCAGTTGCATTACGATTATTAGAGTACAGTTATGCGTTTGGCCGTGCTGCAGCGGTAACCTTGGGACATGCAAGTGACTGAGGAAATTTGGCCGTCAGCTTTATCCAGGTCCCAGCAGAGTTCTTATCAACAAGTACTAAAGCACTTCAAAGTGCCTCCTGCTGACTGTGGCTGAACAACAGCTTCATTACTCAAGCTTTTGTTTTGACATAAGCCCACCATACGCATTACCTGTGTTCCCTACTTTAAAAAGCATGCATTTTTGTACTGATTGCACAGGAAAGGAAAATAGGTTTTCCAGTCATATAGCAAGAAATTACAGTCCTCTGACTGAATCTTCCTTCAAGGTCATTAGTGAGAGATCTGCAGTGAGTCGTGCAACTTTTGTGCACACCAGTTTGTCTAAAATCAGCATGAAATGCAACACTTTGTGAAATTTGTTAAAGAAATAGTTCACCCAAAAAAATGAAAATTTGCAGAAAAGTTATTCACCCTCAGGCTATTCAATATTTAGATGAGTTTTTTTTTGTTTGTGGGAACAGATTTGGAGAAATTTAGCATTACATCTCTTGCTCACCAATGGATTCTCTGCTGTGAATGGGTGCCGTCAGAATAAAAGACAAAACAGCTGATAAAAACATCACAATAATCCACAAGTAATCCACACCACTCCAGTCCATCAGTTAACATCTAGTGAAGAGAAAAGCTGCGTGTTTGTAAGAAACAAATCAATCATGATGATGTTTTAACTTCAAACAGTTGCTAAAATATGAGTCCTCTATCCATAATATTCCTTTCTCCATGCAGTGAAAAAGTCATCTCGTCTCAATCAGGAGAGAAATCTGCACAGATCAAGCACCGCTTACAAGCAAACACAGCCCAAAACAGTCATGAACAAATATGTGGGTAGATTTTGATGTGAGAGGACAACAGAGATGGACTTTTTTATTGGAGGAAGCGTTATTATGATTTATGGACTCATATTTTAGCCAGAAGTGACAGTTTGAAGTTAAAATGTCTTAATGATGAATTTGTTTCTTATAAACACACAGCTTTTGGCTTCACAAGATGTTAATTGATGGACTGGAGTGGTGTGGTTTACTTATGGATTATTGTGATGTTTTTATCAGCTGTTTGGACTCTCATTCTGACGGCACCCATTCACTGCAGAGCATCCATTGCTGAGCAAGTGATGGAATGCTACATTTCTACAAATCTGTTCTCATGAATAAACAAACTCATCTACATCTTGGATGGCCGGAAGGTGAGTAAAATCTCAGCAAATTTTCATTTTTGGGTGAACTATTCCTTGAAGGAAGTAAACAGAGTTTTGACTTCATGCTGACTTATGAACTTCACCAAACATCATTTTGTATTGCTTCAAAGTTTGGATGTATTCAGAAGTAAAATACCTCAATGCATCCAATATTCCTCCTCCTTGCAAAAATTCAAGCCTGTAGGCTCACAACCAGCTTAGTTTAGTGGTAAGGAACAGGGTTTTGGGAAACAGCCAAAACTGCATCTGTGCTACACTAGTTCTCATCTCACAGCAGACAGGTGGTTAGAAACAAGTGGTTGAAACAAAGCACTTTCACAACAGCATCAGAATCATGTCTTAAGATATTAAATAGTCAGTTTTTATTTATGACGACTTTAATTGATGGGATTATAATTGCAGAGGCATAAGTGTGTGTGTATGTGTGTGAGCTGCAAACAGTGTTGCTCCACCAGAATGACTCATGAACATTAGCAGGCAGAAGGGTGAAGGAACATCACAAACCCTCCAGTCTTAAACATCTCTCCAGGATGACACACAACACTTTGTTCCGACCCTCTGTGTGTTGAGTAATACCCCTGTGACTTTCCCTGTGTCTCTTCACAACCTCCAAACCCAAGACACGTGAATCATTCGGCTTCTTACTTCGAACATAAAACAACTGAAGTTAATAATATATGAAGTAAAAGGACTAGTTCACCCACAGATCTGTCATTGCGCATGAACATGAACAGAAGTCATTGAATAATTAATTTAATTGTGTCTGTTCTTGACACAAATCGATTATATGACTTCAGAAGGCTTGGAATTCAGTATATGGTCACATGGAGCACTGTTTTTTTTTTTTTTTGGAGTTAGAAAGACATAGTCACAATGAACTTACATATGGAAAAGAACTGCATAATGATTCTGCATGATGATGAGGGTGGGTAAATGATGACAGAAGTCTTATTTTTGGATGAACTATTTCTTGAATGTGTGTTTTCAATGGGAGTCAAATCTAGAAGTTGCACCATGATCTACCTGGGAAACAAACAAAAAAAAACACTGAAGTATAGGGTTTATTCTTTATGAAATGACAATTCACCCTCTCTATTTTCTAAATATGTGTTATAGAGCTTATCGTCAATGATTCATCCATGTTTTTGTATTTATTGTTTTTTATTTTGACCTTGTAGTTTTTAATCAGAATGCCATAACTTGATGCTCCAGTGAAATATCAGACTTCTCTCTGACATATGCAGGACTTCTCCAATCATTTGCATAAACTCCGCCCCTGCAAGTTTTAAATGCCATGCCCACATCTCAACATCCAATGATTAGCTGAGGCATAGAACCAAGTCCTGCCCTACATGTTTTCTTTTTCAATAACCTGTTACAGTTGGATGTACATCACAATACATAAGAAAAGATCTGTCTCTACTTCCATATCATTGAGAAATTATGACTTTACATATTTTTAAAACAACAGATTATAAACAAGATTTATTGTTTGTGAAATAATCAACAGGCTTGGATGCACAGAGATTCTGATCATGAAATCTATACAGGTTTTTTTCCTGTGCTCTGTAAAACTGTTCATAGAGACAGATGTGCTATTTTAAATTATTTTGACTGATCTATTCTCTTGATTCAATATATGTTCAGATTATCCTGCTACCATCCCTACACTATCCATTTTTAAATCTATAGGTTAAAATCATTTTTATTTGATCTGGCTTATTATTCATGATTTGCATTTGCTTTGCCTTGTGTCCTGCAGTTTTATTTGTGGCCTTGTCTTTGTCTTAAAGGGGTCATATGATGTGATTTAAATTTTTCCTTTCTCTCTGGAGTGTTACAAGCTCTTGGTGCATAAAGAAGATCTGTAAAGTTGCAAAGACTAAAGTCTCAAATCCAAAGAGATATTCTTTATAAAAGTTAAGAGTCAACCACGCCTACCTAAAACGGCTCGTTCTAACACGCCCCCACGTCTACGTCACGCGTAAAAAGACAGTATAAGTCATTATAATCCGTAATTATGTCCCCACTGGATGCAACAAATGTCTCGTTTATAATGGTTTCAATGTTTTTTGTCTCGTCGCTCCGGCCGGACACGGCATCACAGTATGGTAAGGGGCGTAACATTTCCGTCACACGCTTGAGGTATTCAGCCAATCACAACGCACTGGATAGCTGGCCAATCACAGCACACCTCGCTTTTCAGACCGATGAGCTTTGTAAAAATCGACGTGTTTCAGAAAGGCGGGGCATAGAGGAGAAACAATAATGTACAGTATGTGGAAAATAATGTGTTTTTTGAACCTTAAACCGCATAAACACATTTCATTACGCCAAATACACAAAATAATGTTCTTTTTAGCAACATCATATGACCCCTTTAATTCTGTTAATGGTTATTTATTTTGTTCAGCACATTGGTCAACGGTAGTTGTGTTTAGTTGTGCTTTATAAATAAATTGAAAATAAAAATAAATAAATAGAAATCATATTATAAACAACTTTATTTGCATACATACAGTACACTCACAAAGTGATATATACCACTGGGAAAAAAAATTGATAGTGAAAAGTTTCACTCAGAAATGTATAGTAAATTTCACAAATAATTACAAAGAAGTGACACATTGAATTAAA